TGAATTAAATTTGTAGAAAGAGGAAAAATCTGTGCAGAGGGCATCCACTGACCTCAAAATATTGCATGTTCCTTTTGTGCGCAAAACATTCCGCTTCGCACCGTGAGACGGCTCGATTGAATTCCAAATGAAGTCTGTTGCCGATCAGAATTCTCGGAACACCAGGTGCATGCTGCAAAAAGCATTGCACACAGTCTGCAGAAAGTAGTAAATTATACAAAATGCCCAAAAAAAAACAGCCCAAAAAGAATAAAAACATTGCAAGTGCTGTTGTTTTGCGGGCAAAATTACCCGCCAAATTTCACCCAACTGTAAATCAGTGCTGGCAAAGTGAAAGGGCTCGGATGCCGGTAAAATCTGACGCATTAATAAATTATCTTCAAAACATAGGACAGCCGCAAAACGCATTAACAGTTTGAAAGGCGATACCAGGAAGGGCATCGATATCAGTGAGATGTGACTTTAGCCTGAAGTTTTATCATTGATTTTCTTTATTTTAACTGATAGCTCGCAACAACCCCAAACACTGAGTTGAAATATTTGCATAATTTCATATAGGCGTTCAAGTTACTCCTTCCATATCAGATATAATTCAGGCATGAGGGTTACGCTATTTCCTTATCTCCTTGAAACAGAAAATTAGAGAACAGCCTGTGTTGTGGAGAGGGGGACCAGCAAGCCAGACTTAAACCGTATTAGCACAGAATTCAATTACAAAGAGTACACCAACAACTACGGTCATCAAAGAAGAAAAATCCTTGCGAACCTCATCAATTTCTGTAAGCCATCGACGTATCCCGTCGAAAGACCACCGATTTGTGATATCGTAAACCAGAAGAATGCCATGAACTCCTCGCGAATACGATTTGATAATGGTAGAAAAGCGCCCCTGCCCAGATGCATCCCTGAAGACTTATAAGATATTATAATGGTATATGTCATAGCATTTTTTCCCTAGTAACACGCATTACACAATTAATTTAATCCCAACTTTCGCTAATTTCAATTACCACAATCGTCGTACTGACGAGCTCCAATTATGGTAATGTTAAGAAATGTATACGACTTAATGGACCGAAAAATGACCAAAAAGGATATGCTAAAACTTCTTACCATTATAATAATCTCACAGATTTTCCAATTTTCATTACTTTCCTTTTTTCTCTTTATTTTATTGCTTCCTATTATAACTTTTCATTACTAATACATGTTGAAGAATCAAGAACCGAGTTTTGTTTTAGCAAAATCAGAAGATTAAAAAAAAAAAAATTACAGAAAATGAATGAAGTTGGAAGCGAGGGCTGTCCCTAAAGTAGTTTCATACGCTTCTAGGGGACGGATAGAGATGTTAAAAAATCAAGAACAAGGAAATTTTTTGAAAAAATAATAAAAGAATGAAAAGAGGCATCGCTTTGTCAAGAAGCGCCATTCTGGGTGGCGATAAGTCGTCAAAATCACACAGAATTCTGAACACATCTCATGCAATTCGGCACATAACTTGAGGAATTTTCTTCAGATTTTTCTTTTTTCTTGAGATTTTTTTGATAAGAATCTTCTTTCTTAAAATTCTTGTTCCTCTTTCTTTTGAGGGAGAAAAGTTGAGCTACCCGACCAATTTCATGCGGCTTCTTTTCAGCGTCCCACCAAAAAAAAGACATTCGGCTCAATTCAAAAAAAAAAACAGGAATGCAGTTGCTTCCAAATGAATTGGGGTCGGACAGCGAACATTAAATTTAGTGAATTTCAGTGAACAACAAGAAATTTACCAAAGTTGCAAGCGCACCGGTTTTCCTTCCAACAATATTGTGGTACATCTCGGAGCTGTTAGCGCTGAAAATGTACGCTAAGTCACAAAACATTTTATCAGGTTGTTCATGGAGTAAAAAAAAAGTAAGCAACAGCAGATTAATGTGAGATCAGAGCTTAAACTTTAGACACTAGATTGTTGAAATCTGGATTTATATCACTGACACAGAGTCTCAAAGTATTTTCCAAACAGGCTGTAAAGGAATCAATTGCGCTGCAGCGCAACTGGACAGAAAAGGGGCAAAAATATCAGAAAAGAACATACGACCAGGGACGGTCTTTCCCCCTTCAGGATGGGGGAAGCAAAGGATATGCAATTTAAATTGAAACTGTAAAATATTTAAAAACGAGTTTATTTAAAAACAAATTATAAAATACGATAATAAAAGTTCCCATCAGGAGTCGTACCCGAACATAACGTCGAAGCATTTGGTTTCAAATATTTTCGCAAAAAAAAAAACTGCGCAAGAGTACACCAATTTTACTTTTCTAATTCCTCAAAGTGCCGTTTTTTTCCCTCAAAACTAAGAGTGCCAAATTACACTGATACGTAGAATTTTATTAAATATTAGGCAGAGTGAAAAAGCAAAAAAAAAAAATAAGCAACGTACTTATGAAAAACGGTTCCGGTTCGTAAGCCGAATCGGTGGATCCGAGAACATCCGTTATTTCTTCCTTGCCAACATCCGAATCGCCCACCAGCAACAGCTTGAGCGTATACTCGTGCTCCACTCGACCCAGTTCGTTTGCTCCAATGCGCATAGCATCCGAACTAAAAAAACAATCATCCCTCAAATAGCTCCCCCTGCGACGTTACGAGACCAAACATCATGCATCAACCATCGGCACGACACGATCTGCATCGGCACAAAGGCAGGTTCAGCAGCATAGGCACACACCAGTGCTGCAAGAGCCTCGGTCTAAAGCTAAAACTAAAGCCTAAAGTAACTCTAAGTGGTACTCCTGGTTTTTGGCACTGCTCCAAGGAAAGGGGAAACTCTCCTCTAACCTCTCCCGCTCCCCCCCCCCCCCCCCCCCCCCCCCCCCCCCCCCCCCCCCCCCCCCCCCCCCCCCCC